GGGCCGGGGGCCGCGCGGGGACGCGGCGGGCGGCTGGGGGGTCCCCGGCACCTCGCAGCGAGACACACAAAAGGCAGCGCCGCCCGCCCGCCCGCCGGTGGCCTCGCGGGGAGGTGCGGAGCCCGAGGCGGGGGCAAAGATCAGGGACCCCTGGGGGCGGGGTTTCGCCCTCGGCCCACACCCCCTGCCCGGGTTTAGGAGTTCGGCTTCCTGCGAAGGGCTGTGGGCGTCAGACAGAGGAGGCCCTGGGAGGAAAGACTTGGGGAACAAGGCCGGCGCCAGAGGCTGCGCCCCCAGGGCACTGCCCGGCTTACGGGAGCGGGAGGTGCCTGTTGTCCGGGGAAGGTGGGAAGCAAACGCAGCACGCTGAGTCTCTGAGCCCCGGCAGCTTCAGGCCGGCCCCCAGCCTGCCCGCAGGTTTTCACGTTAACCCCTGAGAGCGCGGGGCTCAAGGTCCACCCGCTCCCTGGCCCAGGGATACTAGCGGGTCTTGAATCCACGGTCTCCTGGGGCACCCAGCGGGGGGCAGGTGGCTTCTCCCCAGCTCCTGGGGGCTGGGGTGGGAGATGAGGGTGGGGATGGGGCAGTTGGCAGTGCAAAGACAGGAGAAGAAGGCTAAGTCTCTTTTGCCCCCTTCTGCTACCGCCCTAGGCCACAGAGACACGCAATCAGCTGAGAGGTCAAGGGAGGAAGTGAGCAGGTGGTGGACGGGAGGCCGAATCATCCAGTTGGGAGAAGGCAGAAAGGGTGACTGAAACTAACCTTCAAGCTTTTACTGAAACATTTCTACGGATAAAGAGCTCACTGCCTGTCCAAAGGCAGCCCAGTAACTACATTTGTTAGAAAGGGTCTTTTCTTTCCAGTTTTAAAAGCAAAAAACAAAAAACAGTTCCTTTGGTTCTTCCTTCATGGTTGCCCTCTGCTGGCTACCCTCGGCCTGCCATGGAGGTCCTCAACACTGGTGGCCACAAATGAACATGGTGTCCCAGTGGTGGCCTGGCCTCTCCTTCAGCTGCCTCCAGACACACCATACTTTCATTAATGCGACCTGACTCTCCTTTTCGTTGGTGACCTCATGATGCTGTTAGATCATGATACAGACTTGGCAGCCAGGGGACCTCTCAGGTGTTTCGGGTTGTTGTCAGATTGTATGTTGCTTTTGGACACAAGCTGCTAAGCTGATCTCCTTGCCTGAAGCTGGGTGGATGTCTTTTTGCAGATGTTCACACTTAAGTCTGTTTGCTCCCTCTGTCAGTTTTGACCCATCTTCTCGTCAATAAAACTTTCAGCAGATAGGTTGCCAAAATGTTCTGTATCTTACAATGAAGGAAAACTTACACATTTGGGTCTGAGTGCTAAGGACCTTCAGACTCTTAGGCCATTTTCCCTTCTTGCTTCCAACATCCTCATTGCTGTCAAGTAAGATCCAACTCATAACCACCCCTCTTTGGGTTTCTAAGGCAGTATCACTGTGGAAGTAGATTGCCCAACCTTCCTTCCAGGTGGTGAACTTTTGCCACTGTGTCCATACTCTAGGACCTCTGGTGGCGTAGTGCCTAAGACATTTGACTGCTAACCAGAAGGCTGGCAGTTCAAACCCACCAGCCACTCCTGGGAAAGAAGACTGGGCAATCTACTTCCACAGTGATGTCGCCTTGGAAACCCAAGGAGGGGTTGCTATGAGTCGGATCCGACTCGATGCCAGTGAGTGGAGTCCATACTGCATTCCTCACCATGACTTGCTTCAAGGGCTACAGCGTCCACCTGTTTGTGGAAATGTGCTTGGAACTAACCTGGAAGTCTAGGCTCAAATTGTTCAGGAACAAGGATAAACCTCAAGTGCTTCACGTGGGCCCTCAAAATGTATTGCATCAGTGCCGTTCTCACTCCACTAGTCAAAGTCAACCAGGTTCTCCTTTCTGGCCCCAGGAAAAAAAAAAAAAAAGCCAAACCCACTGCTGTCGAGTCGATTCCGACTCATAGCGACCCCAAGTGGGTTTCCGAGGCAGTAAATCTTTACCGAAGTAGATTGCCTGGCTTCTGCAGAGCCCCAGGAGCTAACCACAAACATCCAAGGCATTTACACAGGACAAAACTTTCCTCTTACACATCTGTCATCCCTCGCGGCCTCTTCCCCCACCCTCCAAGCCCACCTCAGCTACCTCGTTTGCAACTCCACCTACCTACGCCCACCCATGGAAGGCCCTTTCCCTGCAGGTGTGCTCACCACTGGCCAGTGAGCAGCTGGAATAGCTGAGGTGCCACTTTGCAACTAAAGAAAATCCACATCTACCCTAAGAAGAGCATGGCATCAGGACTGGAGACTCATTAACAACATGTGCTATGCAGATGATACAACCTCGCTTGCTCAAAGTGAAAAGGACTTGAAGTACTTACTGATGACGGTCAAAGACCACAGCCTTCAGTGTGGCTTATACCTCAACACAAAAACAAAAATCTTCAAATGATCCAGTAAGCAACATCATGATAAATGGACAAAAAGACTGAAGTTGTCAGGGACTTCCTTTACCTTGGATCCACAATCAATGGCCGCGGAAGCAGCAGTCAAGAAATAATGTATTGCGCTGGGCAAATCTGCTGCAAGAGACCTCTTAAAAGTGCTTAAGAACAAAGATGTCACTTTAAAGACTAAGGTCCGTCTGACTCAAGCCATGGTATTTTCAATAGCCTCATATGCACGTAAAAACTGGTGAATAGAGCAGACTGCAGAAGAATTGATGCATCTGAATCGTGGTGCTGGCGAAGAATACTGAAGATACCGCGGACTACAAGAACAAATGTCTTGGCAACCGTACACCTGTTAAGCTCCTAAGAAGTGAGAATGGCCAGACTGCATCTCACCTGCTTTGGTCATGTTGTCAGAAGGGACCAGTCCCTGGAGAAGGATATCATGCTGGGTAAAGTGGAGGATAAGCAAAAGAAAAGGGGAAGACCCTCAACAAGATGGACTGACACAGTGGCTGCAATGATTGTGAGGATGGTGCAGAACCGGGCAGCGTTTCATTCTGTTGTACAATAGGGCCGCTGCGTCCAAACCAGCCCGATGGTACCTACCACCACCACCCTGAGGAGGAACGTGAGATCCTGAAGATGCACTCAATCCCTATTGATGAATCTCAAAACAAGTTTCTAAATGCCCCTGGCGTTTCTTTAACCCCATGACACGCACCTAGCTCCTCATGTGCACGTTAAACCATGAGCTTTTGTTTGGGTGGAGCTATTTTCTTTTCCCCGTGTTTTGTTTGATCCCAAGGCTTCACGGGCCTCACACTTGTTCCGCTCATCTTCAGGGAGTGCTCTGGGCACACCCCCCACTGAAGCTCCTCAGTGCTTCCTCCCCACTTCCGTGGCAAAAAAATGGGAAAAAAGGCTGCTCACTAACAAAGGGACCCTCCACCAAGGGCGGAGGATCCAAGTTATTGTTGGCTGCAGAAATGGTGCCTCTGGCTTGTGCCCCTGTCCAAATGGTCATGTGATGAGTCAGTGTTTCTATTCTTTTCCCAAAGGCCTGTTTGTGCAGAGGCCTGGAGTGAGGCGAACTCATCAGCACCGCCATGGAAAGGAGCCCTTCCAGCTGGCTATATAAAGACAACCTTTCACCCCCAGAGAGGTGATTAATGGTCTTTAAGAGGGGACATGGGAGCGGGGCGCTGCAGAATGTCAGTTTCCAAGAGGTTGCTGAGTGAAGTGTGCCCAAGACTGGAGGAAACAAACAAATTGCGAGGACTCCACAGCTTTTGATTAGGAGGGAAGCCTCTGGTGAGTAGAAGCCCCTACTCAAGGTAGCAGGTCTGGGTGGCTGAGTGCCAGACCACTACAGAGCAGCCGGCTGACCCTCCCTCCGGCCTGTCCTCCTGATCAGGCACTGCGGCCGGCCTCCCATCTAGGATTAAATGTTTAAAATCACAATCTGGAGACTGTTGCTTGCCTGCCTCATTAAAGCTGGTCTCTGGCATGGGGGCAGGCCTTTTCAAATTCAAACCATAACTTTAAAGAATTCAAATCACAGTGTTGCATTTCAAGTTCAAACCGTGGTTTTGTGAGATGCTGATTATTTTCTCTCTTAAGACCCTTACCCCCTCCCCACCATCAGGAATCCTAGGAGAGGAAGGGGTAAAGGAAGATGGTGAAACACAAGGAGTGCCTCCCAGGGAGGAACCTGACTCCGGAAGACCCCCAAGGCAGAGATGCACCCTGGAGCTTTTCCTTCTGAGCCCGAAGCTCTCAAAACCACAGTTTGAACTTGAAACCACAATTTTCCTGACACCGTATCAAAGGCTGGTCCTGAAAGAGCCAGCCAACATGCCTAGGACCAGCCCTGCTCCACCGCTCACACAGAGCCGCCTTGGTTCACTGGTGGGGATGTGGCCCACACACTCTGACCCACTGAGCTGAGAGATGGGCTTTATTTGCTGGACAGAAGAGCGAACCCCAAACGTGCCTACTCGTCCTTTCAAACCAACGGCACCAGAGGTTCCCTTGAGTAGACCAGAGGAGAGGAAACGAGAAGCCAGAGGGCCCGTGACCACAGGAAGCTGGGAGGTGCGTGAGGGGCCATTTACAGCCAAGGAGCAAACCTCGGGGGCTAGTCGGCTGGTCATTGCAAACGTTATCTGGCTGTGAAATGAAGTCAGGAAAGGCAGCCCAAGCCATCCCAGGCCAACAACAGGTGACTAGGAATCCAAAATGGTGACCCGAGTCAGGGGCAACCAGAGAAACCATTAATGAATCACCAAAACCTGACACCTGTCGTTCTTGGCACTGCACTCAAGACAATCACGTAGCATGGAAGATGTCACTTCACTACTTGGTCCTTCTAGCTACAAGGACAAGGAATTGCAGTAGCTGCCACAAAGGAGGGAAACGAGTCTGCCACAAACTGGACACGGTGTAATGGGGACACGGGAGAGCAGGGAAAAGAAAGTACAAACAAAGACTTTCTTCTTAGATTCTACTTTATTTGATAAAACTTAGAAACTAACAACCAATTCACGTCCCCCCAACCGCCTCCTCTCTGAAGGCAGTTCCCAGAGACAAAGGGGCTGTGGCTTGAGGGTCATCCACCATCTCCAGGTTTATGCGCAGGCAGCCGCCGGCCTGATGGTCAGGGCTCCAAACCCCGAAGTGCTCAGAGGCAACAGAAGGAAAAGGAAGCTCTCACTTCAAAGACGACAAACCCTCCCGCCCCTCTTCTCCCTACCCACAACCTCCCCACACTCCCAACCTAAATGAAAAGCTAGTAGAGGATGATGCGTGAAAGAGAGAGACACACACACGGAGCTTCCTTTCAGCCAGAGAGCTGTAAATTCCTCCCTCGATGGAGGAACACTGGCTAACGCCAATCAAGGTCTGGTGGTCCAAGGTGATGGTTGAGTCATGTGAGACTGGTGAAAATCCAGAAGAAAAGATTCTCCCTTCAGCCCATTCCCAGGTCTCTAGTGAGCTGGTTTTAGTTCTAAGAAATCCCGCTTCCACACAGGTGAACTGTGGCTTTGAGGCAGCTGGCTTAGGGAGGAGTTTCCCATGGCCAAGACAATGGTGCAGGAGAGGAAGGAGGGGAGGGGAGGGCCTGGAAAGGGGTCCCTGCCCTGGGCTAATGGATCCGAGTCAGCTCTTCCACAACCTTGATCAGGTCATCTGCAGTAGCCTCACGCTTCATGCCGCTGCCGTCGTCATACTGCAACGAGGAAAGGGGAAGGTCTGAAGGTCAAGATGGCACCCTCCTTCACCACAGTCTTCAGGGACATCATCCCCCCGAGCCACAGAGACAGGAGGTACACCGTGCCACCGTGCCATGCAGGGACAAGGGACTCATCAGAAACCCACGGTTCTCCTCTGGGGGTACAGCTAAGCAGGCAGACTGATGGCAAAGCTGGTTCTTAGGACACCACGTGGCAAACATTTCTCCCCTTTTGAAGATGGTTCCCCAGAGGTCCCCTTTGCCAGTGAGTAATACCCCAAACTCCAGCACTGTGGAAGCTTCTCTGCCCTGCAGAATCCTGACCCCGCATCCCACCTTTGGGTCTGCCAGAGACCAGACATGCCCAAATGTGCCTCGCTGCTCACGCACTGATGTTAACCAAGGTACAGGGCCTAGTACCTAGTGGGTACCTATGAACTGTGACCAAATCTCTCCTTTCCCTGACTCCACCTTCCCATGCGGGTAAAGAAAATGCCCATCAGGGGCCTCTGGCGTTTTGGAATCCAGGAGGTACACCCAGAGTTCGTCTGGTCTCCTGGCAGGCCCCAGCCTGAGAGGGACTTGTTCCGTCGGCCCTGGGGCTGCACAGGGCGGAGCTCACCTGGAGGTTTGCCACAACCTCCTGCATCTTGGGCCGGCTGATGTCAAGGAAACTCTCAATCAAGTCCCCATCGATGAAGCCAGTGGCTGGTTCTGTCTTTCGCTCGGTATGAAAGGATCTCCAGGTAGGCAGGCAAGTTAAGGGACGTGCAGTTACATGGAAACACCCTCTTGCTCATTCATCCCCACCCAAGCAGGAACATATTCTAGAGGGACCGTCTGGATGAAAACAAGAAATGATCTTTTCAGCTAAAAGGCACAGTGCTTGGGACGTTTCTGGAATACTTCCATCTCCGGGAATGTACAGGAACTTCCAGCACACCTTGGGTTCTGGATGTCCCAGGTGACTGATGCTTCTCCTCCCTCAGACTCCACTGCCCTCAAGAGCCCTGAGAGGAGTGCTCCTGTGTTGTGTCCTGAACTCACTGTTGGACACGCAACAGCAAGAAGGCTAGAGCAGACACATTTCAGAAATGGACGCTTCCAAGATAGAAGTGTTTGAAATCACATGTTTGAAAGTATCCACAAGTCTAAAGGCTATACATCTGTATGGAGGCAAACTGCCTTATCTTTCTCCCGTGGGCAACTGATTGGGTTTGAACCGCCGACCTTTTGATTAGCAGCTGAATGACTTAACTACTGTGCCACCAGCACTCCTCTGAAGGATATAAGGAGTGCTCAATCTTGCCCACACTTTTGATGACTTTGTTGAGTCGATTCTGCATGTCCAACAGGAGGTTGTACCAGCTCTCTGACAGAGAGGTCACCAGCCCTGAAGAAGTGAGGGGAGAGTCAGCTGCAGAAGAATCCAGCGCCCACAGAGAGCGACCCCACCAAGGGCAGCCCGAGAGGGACAAGCCTGCGCAGCCTCCTCTAGGAAACTGCCAGGCTTTGTCCAACTGCTCCCCTGATGTTGTTGTTAGGTGCCGTCATTTCCAACTCACAGCGACCCCATGCACAGCAGATCGAAACACCGCCCAATCCTGCGCCAGCTCATGATCCCTGCTATACGTGAGCCCATCGTCGCAGCCACCGTGTCAATCCATCTCACTGAAGGCTTTCCCCTCTCCTATCAACCCTCCACCTTACCAAGCATGACAGTCCTCGTGACTGCTCCCTAGTCCCTCAGAATGTGATCTCAGGAAGGGAGGCCTGGGTGGGAACGTGCCCCTGCTGGAGGATCAGCCTTACCGATCATGCCATTGACTGTGCCGAACAGCACCGAGCCCTGGGTCGGGGTGGAAGTCTCGCCCAGATTCTGCATAACCAGAGAGCCATGGCAAAAGACGTTGACGAACTCGCCCAGATGGAAGAGACCAACCTCCTGAAGGTGTTGCCGCTCCTCATCTGTGGTGGCAGCACTGAAAGACAACGTGGGAATCTCGCCACCTGAACCTCCGCAAGTCCGTCACCAGGCCTGCAAGGCCCATGTGTGGTAGACATCATGCACTGAGCTTCTCCGGGGAACCTACCCACACCACAGCAAAGGAGCCAGTCTCAAGGGGCCAATTTTTTGGCCTTTGATTCTCTCAGTAAAAAGTTCTTCCTCTGTGAAGAGGTGTCCAGACGTTGATAAGAGGATGGAACACCCTCATCTATCCAGGAGCTCTGGCCCACTCCCCACCAGCTCCATCGAGCTGAGAACTCACCTGTCCTTCTGACACACAAACAAGTTAAAGGCATTTTCAGCCCCCAGGAAATTGTCATCATCCAAGATTTCCACAGCACTCATCCAGTTGGGATTAAAGTCTCGAGCAATCTTAAAACAGACAAGTTGAAACAAGAAAATGTAATCAATGCTGGAATGGAACAGATTGTATCAGCATGGAATCCAGTCCTAGAACTTGTTTTTTTAGCCAGAAGCCATGACCCTGCCCTGCAGAAGGCAGTCCCATGGTTACCCAGCACCCTGGAGAGATGCTCTCCTCCAATCTCTGGCCAGTGCTGCCCATCTGGTTGCAATAATCCAGAGAGATTCTGCTCAGAGTACAGCTGAGGTTCTCCCCCAAAAGGACTTAATCCAGGGAGCATGCACGTTCTAGGGAGAACCTAACGGCAGCAGTGGGCTTCATTCGCCCTCACCACTGGTGAACGCTTGCAAGGCTCATGGCTTGAGTGAGAAGCCCTTCCTCCTTCCCGCCCTGCACTACCTCCTCAAAGTTGCCCTCCATGGGCTTATAGGCGAGCAGCAGCACTGAGCGCATCAGGTCGCCCACCAGGATGAAGTCACCCTTGGTCTTCAGGTAGAGGGCCATGATGTTGTTGTAGTGATTGCACTCGGTGCGGAGCTCCTTTTCTGTTGTCCACTCATAGAGCCGCACCTGGGAAGGGCGATGCACTTCTCTCAGCCCAAGACGCCCAATCCACTTGCAACGACTGTTTTGCCCCACCCCTCATCCCACCATCTGCAGCGCCATCTGCCAAAGTGCAATGAGAGATGTAGAACAGTCTTAAGTGGTACTTCAAGGAATAGTTCTTATTCCAGGAGTATTTATTTAGGAAATATTAAATTATAGCTAGCATATCAAACTTGTGACAGAGTTTTCCTTTATATGTTAAAAAAAAGCCAGCGTATATTAATAAAAATGCAAGTCATACTAGAGCTAGGACAAATGATGGTCTTTGTGCAACTGCAGTTTGGTCAACATAGAAATATCTCTGCAAAGAAGATCAGCCAGCCTCCAATTTCCTGATCAGAAAGGAACAAGATGACCTCCCAACAAACCTCAAAACTCGTGCCGTCACGTGGAGCCTTTGGACGTGAACCCAAAGGCCAACAGAAACACTGTTAAATAATTAAAGGAATCCAAACAACTAGATTCAAAGGGTACCTCTTCTATTCCCTCCCCTCCTCCAAAAAAACAAAACCATCTCTTTTTCTTCCTTCTCCACCACAATGCTTCTTCAGTTACAATCATATCTCCAAAAGAATGAAGATGTTTTATAATCAGCAGACAGATGAAGAGACAGCACAGCCAAGTCCTAAGGAAGATGGTCTCAACTCTCTCTCAAGCTTTCTCTGGCAGACCCTTCAGAGCCTAGGTATCCTGCCCACGGCCTCTGCAGAGAGAGCCACTTCCAGAGTATATTCAGCCGTGGTTTCTCAAGGGGTGTCCAAAGAGCTCCAGCTCCTCAGGTACATACTCCAAGAGTCATGATTATAATGGTGACCACACTCCCATCCATGGGGTCAAGGGTGACGCCAGTGTGTTTCATGATCAGGTAGGCTCAGCCTGGCTGCCTCCACACCTCCAACAGTGGGAGTGAAGAGGGGGACCCTGGCAAGGGGAACCCTCGCTCTGGCGAGACCTCGACCCCTCCCTTTCCACATTCTCAGCCTCCCTATCACCACCAGCCATGGAGACAGTCAAGGACAAGGCCAGGACTCTGAAAGCCCAAGACTCCTAGTCTTATTTCCACAAGTTCTACACCTCTGCTGTCCAACATGGTAGACTAACACCATGTGGCTACTGACCACTGACATGTGCTTCATCTAAGTGAGATATGCTATAAATGCAAAAAACACATCCGAGTTTGAAGTCTTTATAGAGGAAAAAAAGTAAACTATCTCAATAATTTTTTATTAGTATTTTATTGATTACATATTGACATGACATTTGGATAGACTGGGTTAAATGAAACGTATTAAAATAAACCCCAACTACTACTTCTTACTTTTAAGAGTGTGGCTACTAAACATGTAATTCTGTCCATGGCCATTCTGTACACAGTAATTCTCTAAGCACTGGTCCACACATCTCCTAATCTGACTTCACTTCCCACCCTTCCCAAGTCCTGCATCCTCACTGGACAACACAGAGCCACAGGCCACCTCTTCTCTGCCCGGTCCCCTCACCTTCTTAATCTAACCAAAGGGGAGCTCTTTCATGAGGACTCTGTGGCCCTCTCAACGGGGCTGTTTTCTCTTCCGTCATCCCTCACACTGGGACCGGAGGGAGGATCGTCTTCCATGTGTCAATTTGCCCTTTCAGACTTCTGTCTGTCCCTCTTTGCTAAACACCACGGCGCAGAAGCTCATGCCGCCAGAGCAGACCGCCATTATTACTCCTCAATGCAGTCACTTACACCCCTGGCCCCATCACGCTCCCACAATTTCTGGTGATTTTAATATTCACAAAGACCCTTCCAATGCCTCCTCCCCCTCTTATGGCCCACTCCTATGGACGCTCCTGACAGCCTGTCATCAAAGTCATGGCACCTCCTCCACCCCACGCTCTCCATTTCATCTTTGCTCAGTGTCCACTCCCACAATCATTCTCGTACACTCTCGACTTGCTCGCCTCCCTCCCCCTTATCACGCTCACCCAACAAAACCCCAACGGGTTCAATTCTAATCTTCCACTACAGCTGGGGAAAAACAACCATCAAGGATGACTGGTCTCACTTTAATTCAAGACAATCACTGAAAGTGGGCCTGCACAGTAACCGAGCGTTTTCCTAGCCATTCATCGGGTCTCCTGAAACAATGAAGTCCCACCATGTCTACTCTCCTCACACCTCTACTACTTCCTCTCTACCTTCTCTCTGCTATCTCACAGAAAAGACGGGTGCGACCCAAGAGGATTTCCACATGCTTTCCCCATCAGCACCCAACAACTCTCCCTTCTCCCGCATGCAAGGTTAGCACTGCACAGACCCACCTCCTTCCTGCCCCAAGAATAGCGTTCTAGCAATTCCACGCTTGTTAATGGATCACTCCTATCAGCACAGAAATGGGAAACCCAGGGAGTGGGAAGAGGGCTGTTACATTGTGGGGACTGCAATCAATGTCACCAAACAAAGCATATATGAACTGCTGAATGGAAAAACCAATTTGCTGTGTTAACTTTCACTCAACTCACAATTAAAGCAAAACAAAAGAGAATCTAAGGGGGCAGGGAAACAAGATTACTGGAAACAGAACTACCACAACGGAAATACCGAGACCTTTCGCACATCGTGAAGGATGTAACCAGAGCCACCGAACAATTTGCATTTTGAATGGGAATCTAAACTGCTATGTAAACCTCCACTGCAAAAACAAGAAGGTATTAAAATAAGAAAATTAGAAACTAAAACCAAGTAACTCCAGAGGTGACATGTCTCATTACTCTCTCCTTTATGCAAAACCCTTCAAAGTTCTCCACGATAGCTGTCCTCTTCCACAATTCTCGGCTGAATCCACTCCCATTAAGCTTCCCTCCCTATGTGCAACCAAGACAGTTCTGCTCCGGGTCCCCACTGACTTCTGTACGGCCGGACCCAGGGCCGATTTTCATTCTGTGCATCACCTGACCCATCTGCAGCCTCTGCAGCTGGTCAGCTCCCTCCTGCTCGACGTACTTCCACAGCTTCCAGAACACTGATCTCTCTGGGTTCTCTTCCCACTTTACTGGTCAGCCCAGCTCTGCCTGACTGGATCTTCCCCATCACCCTAACTTTTAAACACCCCAGGGTTCAGTCTAGATCTCTTCATCCACTCTCAGTGACAGGTGGCCGTAGGTGATCATACCCAGGCTTTTAGCTTTACGTGCCACACTGCTATCTGCAGCCTCCCTCTTCCCTGGATTTCATATTTGTCAAAGCCCACTACCTACCTGACATTTCCACTTGGATAATTAGTAGTCACTGACACGTTAAATTAAAAAGAAAGAAAAAGAAAAGTTGCCAGGGAGTCAGTCCCGACGCATGGCGACCCTACGTGTATCAGAACAGAACTGTGTCCCACAGGACTGTCAACAGCTGGTTCCATCCCTGCTCAGAAACACATGGCCAGGCCTGTCTTCTGAGGTGCCTCTGGCTGGACATGAACCACCAACCTTTTGGTTAGCAGCAGAGCACTTACTCATTTATGCCACCCAAGGACTCCCATTAACATGGCCAAAACCAAACCTCTGGTTTCCCATCCAACTCGCTCCACTCACAAATCCTCCTGTTACGGTAAATGGCAACCCCATACTTCTGATGCTCAGGTCAAGACAGGGGCTCGTGCAATTTAGTCTGATGACTGACGCCCAGCTCAGAGCTCCGTCCACCATACCCACTCCCTTATTATTCCTAAAATAAGAGACAGAGCCCAAGGACATAAAGGAGAACGTGCTCTGTGGACAACGGCGCACAACGTAAGGTAGAACGATAAGTGGTATGGTAAGAAGGAAACCAAAGTCTCAGAGAAACAACTGGTCTACAGAGGGGACAGCCCCCACAAGTCACGGCATTGCCTACCCTGAGACCGAACAACTAGACGGTTAGACGGTGCCTGCCAACTGTGACCCACAATTCTGATGAGGGCCACAGTAAATGGACCCTGGAGAAAAACACAGAACAAAACTCACATTCTTATAAAGTCCAAACTAACTGGACCATCTGAGCTGGAGGGCTCCCTGAGACTATTGTCCTGATGGTCTTAAACCGTGAACCAAACCATCCCCTGAAGTCACCTTTTAGTAAACTAACAGATCGGCACCCAAAATGAAGGCTATTACCCGTGAAAGGAGATACTCCATTTAAAGACCATCTATGTGAGGCTAGGAGCTCTAGTAGCTTAGTGCCTAAGGCACTTGACTGCTAACCAGAAGGCTGGCGGTTCAAACCCACCAGCCACTCCTCAGAAGGAAGGTTGGGCATTCCTACTTCCATAGTGATACTGCCTC